CAAGTTATTTAACTAAACCATGCCTTGGTTTCCTCATCTGTAAAATTAGTGGGTAGTACTTGTTGGCTTATATTTACTAATATTTTAAAGGGTTTTGTAGACCTAAAAGTGCCATATAAATGCTAGCTACTGTGATGGCAAAACCAGTCACAATACTACTATTATCATTAATATTCATACCAATATTTAGGTTTTTTTTTCAAATATTTGGAATACAAACTATCTATGATATGATAGCTATATCCAGCAAAAGTTTTCTTATTAATTTTATTGACATCACAAAGATCTTGGTATGAGGAAATGAAAGTACAATTTAAAATGATCAAAGTGGAGTAACATAATACTAATCACATAATAAAACATTAATAGTTAAACCTTCAAATAATTGATCATCAAGTTACAGAAAAGTCAAAAGAGAAGAATAGACATTATAATATGCAAGGATCCAAACCAAGTGATCATATAGAAAATGCAATTCACATGATCAATATGTATGTCTAAAATTTATGTTTCTACTCATATCATTAGGCTAATTTGTCATTTTAAAATTTTGCATTTAACAAATAATGAGTTCTTTCAAATTCTGGCTGTCTATCTCGTTACTGACTAAACAGAGACAAAGAACAGCAGCAGGTACAGAGAGTGGGATTGTACTCTCTTCTGCTTCCTCTCTATGTGACAGGCATCTCTAAACTGGCTGCTTACTGCCTATTGACCATGAAGAAATTTTCTCAAAGATTATAGTTGACTTTAATTTTTTTTGCCGAGTAGCAGAATAGAAAGGTGTCAGTTGCCAGCAATCTCTAAGAGTCATTAGAAGTAATACATTGGAAATGAACAGTGTTTCAGCAGGAAAATGTGCTACCAGCCACCCATGGATAATATATTTATACACTGCTCATTGAAAGTTAAAATTGCCTAGTTCTCTCCAGGCCCCCTTAAGACCTAGCTGAAGCTGCTTAATGAGTCAGTGGATTGCTTATGGAGGACAGGAACTACAGCAAAGTCGGCAATCTTCCCAATGAAGTGTTCTTCTCTTGTGAGTGTAAGTTTCCCACAGAACCTGGTGATTTATGTTATTACATATGTGGCATTTATATTACAGTAAATTGTAAATGAAAGGCAATCAACTGGATGATGATACCATCATAAAGTGATAAGACCATCCATTTCATGTGGCTTAAAACACAGTACAATCCACATCTAATGAAGATACATGTATTAAAAAGACCTTTATATGTAATAATTCATCTGTTTGTATGTGTAGGTATGTATTTCTGCATATACACATGTATTATATAAATATGTATGTGTGGATATGCATATACACACATATGGTTAAAAAATGCACACATATAAATAACACCTTACTTGTCCAGAGGTCATTTATCCAACAACTTCAACTACCCAGAACACACTAAGAACCAACTCTGTGAACAGGCAATTCAATTTAATAAACAAGACCCTATGCTAGGCACTGAAGATACAAAGAAAAAAATGACACAAAATAATCTCTGTTTGAAAGGAACTTTTATTTACCTAATAATTGACTTATATTACATATATTCTATAGTCACTAATTATAACCCCTCTGATAAGATGAGTCCCAGGCAACCCAGACCTCATCAGGGTAGAGTAAATGCATTCATTGGTTATTCTTCTCCAACCTTCATACTACTACTCCCTTCAACCTCCTCAATCCTAGTTGGACACTGGTCCTCCCACCCCCACTTTTGAAAGAGGGAACCCAGAATTCCCATTCCACTTAGACTCTTGGACCCACTTTTTTCCTTCCTCAGTTGTGATGGGCCCCACCCTGCAGAATAGACTGAGCTGTCTGTATTGCTTTGTTGATCATCAACAATCTCATCCATGTAAAAAGAAGTTTTAAGATCCTGGGTATCCCAAGGAGAGGTGATGAGGCTCTCCCACCTATTCCCCAACTTTAGCAACAAAATTTCTCTAAATGAACTATTATTCAGTAAATATTATCCCTACACTACCAAAAAGTAAAAGCAAACCCCTTTGTACAACTCACAGATATTCCAGTGGGCTACATTGAAGGAAGTGAGGCATTAGAGGAGATGAGTTATAGCCAGCCTTATCTCAGATGAATGAGTACAAAGGAATACAGATGCTTCCAAGCTCCCCATACCTGCAGATTTGAGGGACACACTCCTTCTGGCCTATAGTGTTTCTGTTTCTTCTCCATATTGATACAAGCACTAGTATCTGACTGAGAGTCACTGTGTCTTTGGCAGCAATGGAATTTGATCCTGCAATACTGGATAGCTCTTACCTATATAAGAAAAAAACTCACAAAACTCAATTTCTGACACCAGTCTTTAGCAGAAATGCCCATGCTTATCAGGCTTGAAGATTTAAGAATACTAATTGTCCAGGCAGAATGCTTTAACTTGCAGACAGACTTTTCTGAGTGCTAATTGACCAGAGCACATGTGCCTGGTTCCTAGACAGTCTTTTCTGAACTCATGATTGGTTTTTTAGACAACTCAGCCTTGACACATATGCAAGACCTTCAGTGGCCTTAAATACAGGAGCAAGATGTCTAAAGCAAAACCTATGAAACACTGGTTTTCATAATTAATCTAAAGATGAAATAGAGAAAGTAACATTGGGAAGTAGTAATTATCTCCATATGGGCAGTCTCCTCAGCTTAGATACTAATAACTATCTTAAGAATGACATTGAGAAAAGTTACTCCTACCTTATGAGGAGTTGGGAAGAATGTTTGTAGAAGTTTCAAGGGAGAAAAAAATCTGTGAAATTTTTGACAAGAAAATGTATACACTACAAAAGGTGTCACCATGGATAGCATGCTGGATCTGGAATGAGGAAGACCTGAGTTCAAATCCTGCCTCAGATATTATTAGCTGTGTGACCCTGGGCAAGTCAGTTAACCTGTGCCTCAGTTACCTTAACTATAAAATGGGGTAATAATAGTACTTATCTCTCAGGGTTTTTGTGAGAATACATGAAATAATATTTGTAAAGCACTTAGCACATAGTATGTACTAAATAAATTCTTATTTTCTTTCTTTCCATACAAGTGACTGTTCTTCAAAGAAAACTTTTTAACCATTAGCATGAAAGCAAAAAGGATTACAATATGCCATAATCAATATAAAATTTTTTTCTAGTAAGAAAAAAAATCTCTTCAAATGAAGGTTACACGTGCAGTTTTAGTATGTAATAAACAGTAATAATAATAGTAGTTTAATCCATCACTTAGCCTCATTTCTACAGCAATTGGGGTAGAATTTCAATTCTGAAATTCAAGCAGTAACAGCTTGAACCGTGAGATAGGTCCCGCAATCAAAATAAGGCACTAGTTTAAGGAGGGCAGGAGGGTGGGGTCATCGAGAAAGAGAAGGACAGAGTATATATTAGGGCAAAAGTTATATATTTCCTACTTCTACTGCAGCTCTGCCCCCAGACCCCCAAAGCACACATATTCATTTCCCTTAAACTCTAGAGTTGTGGGAGGATGATCAAATGTCATTAAGACAGGTCACATTTAGTCTAGAAACCAGAATATTCCAATAGGGCTTTTAAAAAGCATTTATATACATCAAAGCCTAAGGAGTATTACAAATATTTATGTGTCATTTAAATGAGATTATTAAAACAAGCCAATTTGCTTAGGAAATAACTGTAATAGACATTTTTTCAACACCTTATTGCTTTATACACATGTATATATACAAACAGCAAAGGCATTTGCACGTATCTTATAGAATCAAAAACAGCACTGAAAGAAGCTCCATGTAGAGTTTAGTAGGATCAGTAAAATTATAAAATATTTCTTATTCTAATTTTAAGATAGGTCACTTCCTATAGAATTAATATTTATTATAACAAAACCATAAAAGCTTCTAGGGAGGTTCTTGTATTGAATATTCAATTCAAAATATAATTTCAAGATAATCTTTTGAAAGAGGCTATTAGACCCCCAACAGTTTAATAGACAAATAAAAGTGTAGAGTTACTTTTAAGTGTGACTTTCCATAATGGAAACTACCAACATTTTAAATGTTTCATATAAATGGAATCAACAGTAGTTGGACATTTTGTCCATTCTAAAGGAATGTAGTAATCAAGAAAATGCATGTTTATTTTATTAAGCAGACAAGATAAATTTTCATAATGTAAAGCAATGGGAGGGGAAAGAAATAATGGAAATGACGTTTCTATCCTATTTCATTTAGTTTCAAAAGAATAGCTTCTCAGATATTGATTAAAGGGTACAAATGCTTTCAGGGCAAGCAACCATAGATTTGGAGAAGCACTGAACAGATCATTTTGTTCACTCACTTAAAATTATAGAATTTTGGAGCTGAAACAGCTCTTAAAATATTTAGTCTCACCCTGTCATTTTATAGGTGAGAAAGCTGAGAGAGCTAGAGAGGAAAAGCAGTTTCTTACAAGTAAATTAATAACAGAATCCTTCCCATATTCCATGGACTGGAGAGAAGGAAAGATAGATATTGGTCTACTCAGAGAGAGTTATGAAGATATCAACAGGAGAGAAGACAGAGCTGCACAGAGAAAGGTATATAAAAAGTTTAGACTATATATTAAAAAGTATATAAAAGATATGGAAACATGAGTTTCCAGCTAGAGACATGAAGACACCATGCCAGGGATGCATAAGAAGGAGGTAGATGAGATGAGAGGAAAAATAAAATAAAAATAGAATAGGGCAGCTAGGTGGCACAGTTGGATAGAGCTCTGGCCTTGTAGTCAGGAGGATGTGAGTTCAAATCCAGTCTCAGACATATGACACTTACTAGCTCTGTGATCCTGGGCAAGTCACTTAACCCCTATTGCCTCACCAAAAAAGCAAAAAATAAAGTAAAATAAAAATAGATGAGATGAGAGGGTTGGAGTAAGGAGAGAAGGTGGGGTGCAGAACACCAGAGAAATATTGGAAGCACTTTGCAAAGAGTAAATCCAGGGCTCTCCTTCCTCTCTTCTAGAACTGACAGCAACAAAGAACAGGGGGGCCACAGCAGCAACAGTTTGAGGTAAATAACTGAGCAAAAAGAATTTTGACCAACTCTTAGGAACCCCGCTCTGTTTTAAAACTGTTTCCCCCTTTTAGCCATACAACATTTGAGAGCTTGAAGCAAAATGACAGACCCCCATCAGTGCTGATCTGGAACATGAAATAACCACAAGAAAAGGGCTGGGAGAAGTCAGGAACATTTTATAACAAAATAGATCAAATTAAACCAATTTTCAAGCTGGAAAGTGTTGCATGTAAGCATTTTATTTATTCACATACATATATATGTATGTATACATATATACGTTCACATTTAATATTTTAGAAAGGAAAACATTTCACAAATAGAAGTTTTATCATGAAATTCTTTGCTTTGCTTTATTGAAGACTTCATTGAGGAAGAAGCTATTTTTCCTGAGGTGACCCATTTCTCTTTGGGAATAGCTCTAGTTATTAGGAAATTTCTCCTTGCATCAAACATACATCTGCCTCTCTGCAACTTATATCCATTGATCCTAGTTCTGTTCTTAGAGACCAAGAAGAACAAGCCTAAACCTTTTCCCAAATGCTAGCCTTTAAATATTTGAAAACAGGTATTATGTTCCACCCCCAAACCCCAAAGTCTTCCCTTCTCTAAGGTAAAAAATCTTTGGTCCTATCTATGAAATGATCTCAAGACCTTTCACCAATCCTGGTCATTCTTCTCTGAATCATCTCCAGCTTATCCATGTCTTTCCTAAAATATGGCACCAATTCACATAAATGCTTAAAAGCCAGAACTTTTAGCCTTTATGTTTCATCTAGAAATATTCTTCAGTTACCTGGAAAAATGAACATGTACTGATCTTTGGGGTTCAACCATATGCAGTTATATGTGAATTATCTACTTTGTGGGTAACTTTTAGCAAATTTCCCAACAGAGGAAAGCTTTATCTGAAAGAAAACATAATTAAGAAGAAAAATGCTTCTCCTCATCAAAATAATATATACATATATATGTCTGTGTGTGTGTGTACATACATATATTCTAAACAGAAATGGTTTTTGTATACTATGTTATTTTGAATTATCTGTGCCACTTTTCACTCAGTCCCTATACACTCTCCATGGTCTGTCCCAGGTCACCTGTTTTGCATCCAACTTGATCTGCAAGCCATAGTGTCAGCTGCAACAAGTAGAAAACTGTGAATCTAAGCATCCAGTGGTGACCTCCCATCTCCCCAATAGCATAGGCAAAATGATTAGGAATGTCAGACCAGAAGTCTCTACAAGGGTGAAGAGGGGTGGGTAAGCACAATTTGAGTTTTATTTAGGGTCTTTATGCCTAGATACAATTTCCTTTTTCTTTACCAGTATTTCATAGATCTCTTTCCTTTTCAGCACTTCCAGGAAGAGGAGTGGACATAAGAAACCTTTGTAATACAAATTACAACCTTAAAGGTAAGTAGAGCAAGTGTCATTATCTCCATTTTACAGATGAGAAAATTGAGACACAGAGCGGTTATGTGATTTTCCCCACAGACACACAGTTAATAAGTGCCAAAGCTGTCAGAGGATTTGAATCTACATCTTCTGAAGGTAAAGCCAACAACCTTAGACCATGTTATGCTGTCTCTTGTATTTATTTATAGAATTAAAATATAAAAAGCACAGAATTGTAATAGAAACAGATTTCAGTAAGCATCTCTGCCAAACAATAAGGGGGAAAAAACCTCTGCTACACCGCATCTGACAAGTGTGACCCAAGGCCCAGTATCCCCAGCATGGATATCCCCAATATCTTGCATAGTCCAGAAAAGGAGGTGAAGGAGGAGAGGAAGAAAGAATAGGAAAAAAGGAGCAAGTAGAGGAAAAGGTGGGGAGGAAGAGGAGCAAAAGGAGGAGGAGGAAAGAAAATATTGATTAAAAAACAAAGAGTTACTTCATTAGTAATGGCAGTGTTTAAGATTGCAACTTCTAAAAAAAATTAATATGAACATTTTGAAATACTCCTTAACAGTTCTAATGAGATATTCAATTGGTTCCAGATAGGGTTGCTGTTGGGTTTTTCCCCCATTTATATATCTTAGCTAGTCTAGCTATTTTTTTCATATATTCACCTTAGCTGTTACTTAAAAGCTGAGGCTACTTTCTTCTGCAACTATTCCTCTTCCCATGTCTCAGGTATTTGTTCCTAACACTGGCATAAAAAGTTTAAAATCCATTATTATGCTTCCAATTGAAATCCATTACCATACTTCCAGGACCAATTCCAGTAGTCTAAAATACATGTGAGATGATGAAGAGTCTTCAAGTAAAAGTGCAGGGAGCAAAAAATAGTGATTTTAATCGTGTAAGTATATTACAGATCACCTGGACAAAAAGAACTAGGTGAAGAGTTTGGGAAACGTGTATAAGTATGGCACAGAGAAATGATATGGTATTAATGGGGGACTTCAATTTCCAGACATCTACTGTAGCACTCTCTCTCTCTCTCTCTCTCTCTCTCTCTCTCTCTCTCTCTCTCTCTCTCTCTCTCTCAAAAACAGAGTACCTAATGACTTCTTGACTTATCTTAGTGATAATTTCATCCTTTCAAATGTGGAGGAATCAACAAAGGGAAATGGCTATTTTGAATTTGATTCTCACTAACAGGAAGGAACTGGTTGCTGGGGTAGAAATGATGAAATCCCTAGGGGAGGGAGGAAGTGACTAGTCTCCCCTAGAGTTTGTGATAGAGGACAGAAAATCCAAAAGAGGTTGGACATGAATCCTAGATTTTGGAAAAATAGATTTTAAAAGGTCTAAAAGCAAGATTGGTGGGATATTATGAACTAAAATGCTAGAGGATAAGTTGGCTTAGGAGAGTGGGGGCTGCTCAGAAATGAAATTCTGAAGTCAGGAAAGGAAACAATTAAAATGAAGAAGAAAAAATGGGATTTGTCTGAAGAGACTAATGTCCTACATCAGAACATCACACAGAAACTCACTAATCAACTTAGGATCTAAAAAGAAACATATCAAAGATGGCAGCAAGGCCAAGAAAAAAAAAAAGCATAAATATAGGATTCTTTTTTTTTTGAAGCATCAGGAAGAGCTAAAATTCAGGATGAGCTGAGGTTGGCAAGAGATGTTGAGGACAAGAAGGGTTTGGGTTTTGGCTTTCTTTCTTACCTATATTGAGAAAAGGAAAGGATCTTTGCTTGGGGTGGATGAAATGGTAACTGGCAACAGAGAGAAGGTAAAGTTGCTAGGATCTCATTTTTCTTCTATTTTCTCTGCCAAGGAGAAAATAACCTTTGCATTAGAAATAGCAGAGCAAAAATGGTTGATGAGGAGCTGATTAATACCCATGATAAGGAGATACTGAAAGACCATTTAGTTGATAGAATCATAGATTTAGAACTACCCTCAATGAATTGAAGTCACCAGGTGAGCTACCTTCTCTAATACTAAAAGAAATGGCAGGTGCAATTGCTGAGCCCCTGTCAGGGTTATGGCTGGTAAAAGATGAAATGACTGAGGAAAACAAAGGTGCAATCTTCTGAGCATATCAATTCATTAAGCAATGTATGCCAGTTGCCTAACAAAATGGGACCAGGCTCCTTCCTCAGCTTAGGCCTGGACCCTAAATACAAGGTAAGACAGACTTTTATACATTAAAAACAATCAATCAAATAAGAAACAATTAATTAAAAGGAAACACAACAACATTAGATAATCTGATTTCTAATTGGAGGAAAGATTAGGGATTTTCCAAGTTAGGAGAGTGTTTGTAAATAATCAAGGGAGTACGGAAACAATAACTGATTGATCAATACAGGCTAATTTTCAGATAAGCATATGAGTTGCTTGAGATGTATAATTGTGAGGAAACTCTTTGCATCAATCTTTTGGTCTAACTGGGTTTCTGATCAACATAATTTAGGTCCTTGGTTACGGGTCTCTAAACAGCAAGTAGAAGTGGTCCAGTTTCTCAGCCACACAAGACTAGATTCAAACAATGGTTTGAATAAGATTTTCTCCAAATTCCCACAATTGAATAAAGTTTTCTCACAAGACTAAAGTTTGACTAGACCCATAGCTGAATAGAAAAGGAACTGAGCTAGCTCCAGATTTGAGTCACAAGATGGAATCAGTGTGGTTCACTCAATTCCCATTACCGCTTGCCATTCTAATCCCTTCAATTCCTTCAATGTTATTTGGAAGAACAGAGAAAATGACAGAAGTACCACAAGATTAGAGAAAGGCAAGAAGCCTGATTTTCAAAAAAGTAAGAGAACAGTCTTCCAATTACAGGCCAACAATTTTGATTTAAATTCCAGGGATGATTTTAAAATTAATAGCTTGTAAGTGGTTGGCAAATGTCTAGAAAGGGAACTATGTGTGATCACAAAAAGCCTTAGACTTAGTCACACACAGACCATTCCAGGATAATTTTGTTTCTTTTTTTTTTTAACAAGGTTACTAACCTAGTAAATGAGGGAAAGTGCTGTTGATATGTTTACCTAGATTTTAGCAAAGTTTTTGCTAAATTATCTCACACTATTTTTGTGAAAAAGTCATAAAGATGTGGAAGAGATGATAATCAATTAGATAGATTTAAAACTGACCAGACTCCAAAAATAGTTAATGGGTCAATGTGGCAAGATATCTCAGGGTCTCTGCTTAGCTATAAGCTGCTTAACATTTTTAACACTAATGATTTACTTATTTATTTACTTAATTATTTTACTTTACTTATTTTATTTACTTATTATTGCTTTAGTTATTTATTTTATTTACATATACCATTGACATTGGCATAAATTATACACTCATCAATTTTACAGATAACTAACATTCTTGGTGATAATGTTCAGATCCAGAAAGATCTTTATTGGCTAGAGGATTAGGCTGACTCTGCTAAGAAGAAATTCACTGGGGACAAATAAAAAGTCTTACACTTTGTTGTAAAAAATCAACCTCATAAAATTGGTAGGTATGGTTAGAATGCCAGTCAGTCAATAAACATTTATTGAGTACCTACTATGCATCAGGCACTGTGCTAAACTCTGGAGTTACAAAAAAAGGCAAAAGACAATACCTGCCCTCAACGAGCTCACAACCTAATGGTACAGACAACAAGCAAGCAGATATGTACAAACTATATACAGTTATCCCTTCCACATCACAACTCTCCCCATCTCAGTTATGATGTGAAAGGATTTGTTTTAGAAAATTTGGACTCAAGCAAAAGGCCACACTCAAGGACCTAGAAGGTCACATGTGACCTTGAGGCTGCAGGTTCACCACCCCTGAACCAAAGGGTAGAACCAGGAACAGTGGGTAGAAGTTGTTGCAGATTTAGGCTTGATGTCAGGAAAAAAAAAAAGACCAGTCCAAAGAAGAATGGCTTCTCTCTAAAAGTGATGAGCTCCTTCTACTTGGAGGTCTTCAAGTAGAGGCTGGATGACCATTTGTCAGATATGTTATAGTGGGAATTCTCTTTTGTTTATAAGTTGAACTAGATGGCCACTGAAATCCCTTCCAACTCTCAAGGTCTATGCCCCAATGACAAAATGTGAAACTGCCAGGTGCCACCGCCCCTGAGTCTCTTGGTATTCAGAGTCTGGGAACTTGGAGTCCTGGAACTTTCAGCATTTCACTGTTGTCCCAGTTTCTGGTATCTCTTAGACCAGTGGTACTAAATATACAACACACTGACCACAATTCTCCCAAGTGTGGCCCAAATCAGATTAAAATGCAACTGGGAAATGTTTAACAAAATAGATAAAAATGCAATAAAACAATGGTAGTATGTAGCTAAGTCAATATGTGAACTGCAAATAGTCTTATGTACAGGTTAGTGGGCACATTTCTACTAAAGAGACCAAGAGGCTACTAACTAATCTCTGCGGCCAAGGCAGGTATGGTCAGTAAGTTCATCAGGTCCTATCCCAATGTACAGATTTTCCAGAGGGACCAAAACTCGCTCACTATCAGGTCTCTGCCCTATTCTGTGTTGTCAGTCAGGTAACAAGCATTTATTAGTCAACAAGCATTTATTAAGCATGTACACAGTCAAGGGGGTTTAGAAGATAAGGAAACATGTTATCATGACTAAAGCCAAATATATGGATCCATCCATTCCTGATGAATGATATCAACAAGTAACGTGGGTTTACTAAGGAGGCATCTCGATACTGAGACGACATAAAATGGATTCTTGGTGCAAGACAAGAAAATTCATTCCAACTGTCCCCTCAAGATGGCCCTAACAAACCTGCTGTCTAAATTAGTCTCATTTTAATTATGTAGACTCTGAAGGCCAAGGCTTAAACAAAAAGAAAACCATACCTTTCAAAATATATTAATCATATTTCATTACATCCCAATTGCTTTTAGCTGACTTGTAATTATACAGTAATATCCAATGAAGCAGAAATTATAAGGCAATTAAGCATGTGTGGAGAGTCACACTCATGGAGGTGAGGGCAGCTGCTCAATATCAACATGACTTGTAAAATAAAACCTTGTATGCAATGAGGGCCTTTATGAGCTCTGACTGTCAGTGTTGCCCTCTCTGACAAAATAAATTTAAATCCAGCAAATTAAATTTGTTTGAATTTTTAAAAGCAATTTAACATGTGTGCTATACATATCCCCTCAAAAATTTATGATACATACCTTATCAGCAAAATGACTTAGGGGATAACATGCTAGACATGGAGTCCTGAAGACCTGCATTCAAATCCTGTCTCTTACACTTACTTGTTATGTGGCCCTATACAACCTCTTACAGCCTCAGTTTTTTATATGTAAAATGGGGATAATAGCACCTACCTTACATAGTTGTTGTGAGGATAAAATAACATATTAAAAGTGCTTTACAAACTTTAAAGTGCTAAATGAATGCTATTATTATTCTTATTACAAATTATTATATTATAAATATTGTTACTACAAAATTAATTTTAAAATCATTAAAATTAATAATGAATCAGATATATAGATTGGTTAAAAAACTAACGCTACTAAGAAGAAGAATTGTTTCATTAAGTCTTGGGATACTAGAGATATCCTGAAATGGGATCTGATTGTAATTTCTTTGTATGCACTATATTTTGACTATGTCAGCTATACCATGGGCTAACAGCTCCACTAAATTCCTACTCCAGTGGCACACAGTGATACAGAGATGGCCTTAAGTTTCTTAGAAGTTCCAGCTCCAACATTTTACTGTGTGTCTGTCTTCTCAAGGCCAGCTTAGCTAAATTCAGAGCAACTCATTACCTAACAGCCTGAAACAGTGAAGAGACAGCTGAACTTCAAGGCATGGCATCTGAGGTCTTATCCCAGCTATCCACTTATTATTACTGGTGGACAAATCCCTTCACCTCTCTAGGCCTCAGTTTGTACTTCTCATAAATTGAGGGGATTGGAATAGATGGCCCATGAAGCTTTCCAATGCTAGAGCTATAATTCCCAAATTCTTTTAGCTATAGTTTGCCCAAGTTTGAAGGGTTTCAATTTTCATGTGATTGAGGAAGTAGCCACACAGGTAAAATCACAGAAATTTCAAATATTGAAGTATATTGTAAACATAAAATAGACTCAATGTAGTTTAAACTCACATAACAACTCCATCCACTATATCCCATTGCCTCTTCTAAGGCATACTAAATTCAACATCTCTTAAACAATTTTAAATTGCACTCAAATGTATATTAATGCCATACTCAGCTTCTCTTTATCTGTGAATAGAGGAAATGAAATTAATTAAGGAGATAATGAGCTAAAAGAACAAAGATTTTATATAACAATGCTGTTACAATAGGAATATGGTTTGGGCATACGGACTGGATCTGTGATTACATCGTTGTAGAAACTCCCTCTATCAATGCAGAAAAGCATGTTCTCTACAATCTCATTTTCTAGAGCAGGGTTTCTTAAACTTTTTCCACTCCTGACCCCTTTTCTCATTTTGGCAGCATTCCTTGGCATTGCATGGCTTGAGGACATGGGAAGTGCAAAGTGCACACGCTTTGTGTTCAGAACCAAAGCTACAATGAAGTTGCCTGATGCAACAATGGCAAATGCTGTCTGAAACCCCTCAGATTCAATACACATTTGATTTTTAATTAATTTTTGGTCGTTGTGCAGTCAGAAACCTTTTACTGTTGCCAAAATTTTTGTGACTCCATACGGGGTCATGACCCACAGTTTAAGAAGCACTGGCCTAGAGCACAAAGCATATAAGTGACTTGTACATGGTCACACAGCCAGTATTTGTCAAAAATAAGACTTGAACCCAGATCCTCCTGGCTCCAAGACCAGATCACTACCTACTATACTAACTTATTATAAAATATTTATCCTTTTAAGTTATAAAGATTATTTTGAGTTGATAAAGTGTTATTTCTTACTATTAGAAACTTGAAAGTATCCTAAAAGTCAATGCTTACTGCTACTTTCCTTGAAACACTAAAATTACATGTCTAAGAAAAAGTAATAACGTATGCTCTGAATGCTACATATTGCTTTACATGCCTAGTAACACTCAGGAACAACAATAATAACAACTAGGAGCTTATGGCTTCATAAAGAGTTTTCTTTTACCAGTTGTTTGTTGGATATTTCAAACTAGATATCCTGGAGACATTTCAAACTCAACATGACCAAAACAGAAGTCATTCTTTGCCCTTAAACTCACCTGTCTACCAAACTTCCCTGTTTCTGTTAAAAGTACCGCCATACTTACAGTCTATTAGGTTCAAAACCTTGTCTTTTAACCTTAATGCCTCACTCTCTCTCTCACCCTATGTAGCCAATCATGATTGCCAGATCTTGTTTTTTCTACCTGCACAATACCTACATTTGATGCCTTCTCACACAACCATCACCTCAATCTAGATGAGACCTAGTTTATTGTAAAAACCTCCTAACTGGTCTTCATCCTCAAGTCTCTCCCTACTTCAGTTCATCCTACATATTACTGCTAAACCAACAATTCTTAAGTGTAGATCTAACCTTGTCACTCCCCAACTCAATAAACTATAATGATTTCCTATTACCTGGAATGCAGATTTTCCTTATCTCCACCTCATGGGATCCCTCTCTTCCTTCAAGATTCAGAAAGGTCATAGATTTAGAGTGCAGAATACATACATATGTACACACATACACATATATGTGTGTGTTGTATTTATGTATATATACACATATATACATATATATATAAACTGTTAAGTAAAACTAATATGATGACCTCATCTGAAAGTGCATGCAACATTTCACATCACCTCTGCCTCTATTTCTCTCCCTCCTACTTCTACTTCAGTGAATAAAAAAAGAAAAAAGGAAACCGCCTTGTAACAAATATGAATATCCAAGCAAAACAAATGTCTTCAATAGCTATATGCAAATATATGTATATGTATGTGTATATATATATATATATATATATATACTCTATCAATGACTAGAACCTTTATCCCCTCCACATACTCTATGCTCCAGCAGACAAGGCTACTGATTATGTATTTATATGTATACATACATATATAAAAGTATGTGTGTGTATATATATATATATATATACGTATGTGTACACATATTTATGTGTGTGTGTAATTTACCACCCTAAATCTATGGCTTCTGTGTCTATATTTACATATATACAGACATATGTGTGTTCTGTACTTACATCTCTGACATATGTGTGCACACACACACACACATATTTGCCTACAGTCATTGAGGGAATTTGTTTTATTTGGATATGCATACTTGTTAAAAGGAACTTTTTTTTTCACTGAGGTAGAGGTAGGAGAGAGAAATGGAGGCAGAGGGTATTACTGAGGTGAAATGTTGCATGTACTTTTAGATGAGGTCACTATATTATTAGTTTTACTTAACCATTTTATTTTGTGGCAAGAAGCTTCACAAAGTGGGAATAATCTGTAAATATTTGTAGTCTAAAAACAAAGCACATCAACAGAATAAATCTCCCAAAAATGTAGTTCAAGGATTACCAAATTTACATAGCATCTTTTCAAATCCCCTTGACTGCTAGTTCCCTCCCTTGCAAACTAACTTGTATTTAACTACCTTATATTCATTCTTTTTGTATTTGTTTTTATATCTTTGCTGTCTCCCACATGAGAATGTAAGTTTTTGCATTTCATTCATTATATTTGATTCTCCAGTGCCTAACACAGTGCTTGGTATATAGTAAGTAATTAATGAATACTCATTGATTGATTTTCATATTGTTCTTTGCATATTTGCATGTTTGTCTTTGTTGATAGTTATGTTCAAAATTTAAGAAAATGAAACAAAAATTAACAATGACATACAGGCTGTCCCAAAAGTTTTAAGCTAATAAAGATTTCTGGGACATCCTGTATTTATTTTTAAAAGGAGAGAAGATATTTGAGCATTGACTGAACTGCTTTTTTTTTTTATCCTTTTACTGCAGGTATCCATTTACTCAAGTAAATATACCTTTTAAGGAAATGATGGATTTATTTAACTTGACGGATCAAAACATTACTTCAGAAGAAACATTCAATCGAATGCCATCTAAGATTCTGGTCTCACTTACTCTGTCATTATTGGCACTGATGACAACTGCTATCAACTCTCTTGTAATCACTGCTATAATTGTTACCCGGAAGCTACATCACCCTGCCAACTATTTAATCTGCTCTCTTGCAGTTACCGATTTCCTAGTGGCTGTCCTTGTGATGCCCTTCAGCATTGTATATATTGTGAAAGAAACTTGGCTTATGGGTCAAGTAGTCTGTGACATCTGGCTGAGTGTTGACATTACCTGCTGCACATGTTCCATCTTGCACCTCTCAGCTATAGCTTTGGATAGGTATCGTGCAATCACAGATGCTGTCGAATATGCCAGGAAAAGGACACCTAAGCAGGCTGGGATTATGATCACCGTGGTGTGGACTATTTCAGTTTTCATCTCCATGCCACCTCTATTCTGGAGACATCAAGGAACCAGCAAAGAAGATGAATGCATAATCAAACATGACCATATTGTTTTCACCATTTATTCTACATTTGGAGCTTTCTACATACCACTGGCACTGATACTCATCCTCTATTATAAAATATACAGGGCAGCAAAGACATTGTACCATAAGAGAAATGCTAGTCGGATTGCCAAAGGAGAGCTGAATGGTCAGGTACTCTTGGAAAGCAGTGAGCGAAACATTCACTTGGTCTCTACATCATATGTGCAAGAGAAGTCTTTATCTGACCCTTCAGCAGACTTTGATAAAATACAAAGCACTGTAAAAAGCCCCAAATCAAAATTAAGGCCAGAAAAATCTTGGAGGAGGCAAAAGATTTCTGGAACAAGAGAGCGAAAAGCAGCCACTACACTGGGGTTAATCCTAGGTGCATTTGTGATCTGCTGGCTTCCCTTTTTTGTCAAGGAGGTAGTTGTCAACATATGTGAGAAATGTCAAATTTCAGAAGAACTATCTAATTTTTTGACCTGGCTTGGCTATCTCAATTCTCTTATAAATCCATTGATCTATACAATCTTCAATGAAGACTTCAAGAAAGCATTTCAGAAACTTGTGAGATGCAGACATTACCTTTAGAATAATATAGCATTGAAAGTTTTTTGTGTATATCTATATCTATATACATATATGTACATTTAAATATGTTGAAATTTTGTGGGAAAAGGAAATATTTTAAGATTTATTCACATTTTGAATTTTCTATTGATCAGAATGTTTACTGATTAAAGATAGTTTTATTTGACCATCATTATGGGGTATTGTGAATCTGAGAATGGTTTTATGCAGAAAGAAAGCAGTATTCAATTTTCCTATTCATTTTTTAAAATGCTAGTGGGATGTATCTTCTATTGTGCTGATGACAGTAGTGGAGGGAAACTTTTTGGTTGCTATCAAACTCTTTAATCTTTAAGTCAGAAAGCTGAATTTATAAATTGCTGCTCTTCATTTCTGAAGGGAAGATGTAATTCATTCATAAAACATGACATGCTCTCTCAGTTCACTATCTCTCCAATACCTGACCCCAAGAAGTTCCACTTCATTTGACCAAAATAAAGGTAGAAGAATAACTTTATTGATCAAGAGACCTAGAATTTATCATTCAACTTTGTCTTTCTCATGTAGTAAAGAACCATAAAAGGAAAAAGGTGATGCATCGTCTTGAATTTGAATTCTTGTTTGAGATTCATAAAAAGTTTTCTATTATCCTCATTTAAAATCCCATCAAGAATATATTACTCATAACTTGGGGTTTTAAATGAAAGAACTATTCTACTAATAAGTCAAGAAGAATTCATACATGATTCTTGCTTACCTGTAAATACTTTTGACTTAGAAACCCAAGATAACTCAACACAACTACCTTATTATGTAACACATTTTCTAAAGTAGAAAAAGTATTTCATTACTGACAGTATTGGCAGGATCCAGTACTAACTGACCATGAAGGAATATTTTACACTTTAGCATTAACAAATATTTAATTTTGTGACTAAAGACATTTGGCAGGCCAATATTTGTCTTAACAGGCTATATGATTTTCCAGCTGAAAAAAATTAACAAAAAGATATTCATCTTTTTTTTTTGAGGCAGTTGCAGTTAAGTGACTTGCCCAGGGTCACACAGCTAGTAAAGGTCTGAGTCTGAATTTGAACTCATCAACTCTTGACTTTAGGACCAGTGCTTTATCCACTGCACCACCTAGCTGCCCCCAAAAGATGATCATTCCCAAAATTCTATCTCCTTCCCCTATATTCAACTCACTGTGCCACAGTGGAAATTTTTCCCCATAAGCTGTTTCTCCACAAGCACCAGCAGAAGGGAAAAAAGTTTTTAAATTCCTATTAGAAATTTGCTGAAATTTTTGTTTGACAATTTGCTGAGTACTAGTTGGCAACAAAGAGGGTATTAAACAGGAAACAGTATGTTCTCCAAGTGCCTTTGCTGTGCTCCCTTTGACTCATAGGATCATATATTTAAAGCTAGACCCCAGAGGCCATTGAGTCCATTCCTTTCATTTTTTAGATAAGGAAACTGAAGCAATTGACTTGCTTAAACTCCTGTAGATAACATCAGAGGTGACATTTGAACCTAGGTCCTTTGACTCCAGACCCAGTACTTTTTACCTAATCACAAATTAGTAAAGAAAGAAGAAGAAACAATTATGTAGTGTGAAAGATTTCTGCAACAAGAGAGAGAGGAAGACAGCCACTACTTTGGGGTTAATCCTAGATGTGTTTGTGATCTGCAGGCTTCCCTTTTTTGTCAAGGAGGTAGTTGTCAATCTTTGTGAGAAGTGTCACATTCAAAAGAACTGTCTAATTTTTTTTTTACATGGCTTGATTATTTCAATTCTTTTGTAAATCCACTGAAATACACAAACTTCAATGAAGACTATAAGAAAGCACTTTAGAAACTTGTGAGACACAGACATTACCACTAAGAAAATAGGCTCTTGAACAGTTGCCTAACTTTCACATTAAAGTAGTATTTCAGGAATATTTTACCCTTAATTTTCAATTTTCCTCCCAGCTAATACTTTAGCTCTTTTTGTTTTCTTTCTCTTTAACTAGAAGTAGATCAAAAACTTAACTTCAAGTTTTGAAAAATAAAGTTCATATTCAATTGTTTTTATAGCAACCATTTTAGATCGATCTGCTCTAATTCATACTGAATTATTTGAAAGACCCAAACCCTCTTCCAGCTACAATTGTTTAAAGATACTATTGGGTACTTTAGAGGTAATTTAATTAATTTTTGAGGGCTATCTGATTTTCACTTTATATGAAATTTAGAATTTCATACTCACAGAAGATAGAACTCAATTGTCCATTGTGTCCTGAGTCTCTTCAGTGAAATATACAGCCTTAAAGCAGATATATAAACATCCACACTGGAAAAGCAGAATGGATGAAAAACATATATTGCCCATATTATGGCCTGCATATTCCAATGAATGGACAGCTTATCAAATTAGTGTATATAAATACATAGACAGTTGATGTAGAGGAGAGAGAGCTGACCTCAAAGTCAGAAAAACTTGGCTTTAAATCCCACTTCTGACATATCCTAGCTGTTTGACCCTAGGCAACTCACTTAACCTCTCAGTGTCCCTGGTAACTTTCTAAGATTAAAAGTTGCAGAGAAAGTACTAATCTGAAATGGTAGAGGGAATTCCTCTTTAGAAGCTCTACTGTAGTGATGAAATCACAGGTCTGGTTAAAAAAATAATAACTGTAATTTATGATGACCAACATATTCATAATATGTGATACATAGGACACACAAACACACATGTTTATAACTTCGGGCAGTCACCAAAGACAGACAGTGAAACGGGTCCTTGTAGTAGGAAGAAGAGATTAAGGCTGCATTACATTGTGAAATTGTACAGTAATTTCAATGATCACAAACTGCTCATTGTTACATAAGACCATTCTTTTAAAAAAAAAATCATATTCTTTCAGTGGTGCTATATGATTCTGCCATCATGGTATTTCATTATTCACAAGAATCATAATTTCTTAAGTAACCCAAATGGCAATGCAAAGGCACATGATGTATAAAAAGACTGTAGCATGCAACCATTAATGACTCACATACGAAATGTAAAGAAGGAAGGAAATAAGCATTTATTAAGTGACTGCTCTGTGCCAGGCACTATGCTATGCACTTTATAAATATTATCTCATTTGATCCTCACAATAATGCTAGGAAGTAGGTGCTGTCATTATCTCCATTTTACACTTACATTTGAGAAAATTGAGGGAGACAAAGGTTAAGTGATTTGCCCAGGGTCACATAGCTAGTAATGGTCTGAGGCTGTATCAAATCAGGTCTTACTGACTCAAGGCCCAGAGCTCTATCCACTATACCATCTAGCTGCCAAAGTAAATTTGCAAGAATGAAATGATCAAAACACATACGCCCGGGGTGGGGGGTGTGGGGCGGGCTGGCTGGTGGTGTGTGTAAGGTAGGGAAAGAGATGTGAGTTAGTCATTAGAAAGAATGAAAAATAAGCAATGGATGGCTTCAATAGTAAATTGGCAATCCTAAGTTCCCAGAAAAACCAGAGGAAGGCCTCTAATACATTAAATCTATCTTCTATGGAAAAGTTTTTGGAAAAGAATTGCACAGTGTGAGAAGCTATGGAGGAATTAAAATTGCCTGCTATTGTAAGAAATATGTACACAAATGGATAAAACACCCAAATTAGACATTTAATGGATATATTAAAATATAGATTATCTCTTCTTTTAGGAATTAGTGTTTCTATAATGTATGTTGGAAGACCTTTTGACAACCTATTTACCTTTTTTTTTTCCTTAGGCAATTGGGGGTAAGCGATTTGCCCAGGGTCACACAGCTATTAAGTGTCAAGTATTTGAGGCCAGATTTGAATTCAGGTCCTCCTGACTCCAAGATTGGACCTCTATCCACTGTACCACCTAGCTGCCCCCAACATACTTCACTTTAACATTAGGAAATAATATGTTGGCTTTTAAAATGGTTCCACTCTATATGAAAGAATGCTGGATCTGTGTTTGAGTCACAGCTCTGCAACTAACTTCGTATGTGACTTTAGACAAATCACTTAAGTTCTTTGGACCTCAAGTTCCTCATTCATAAAATCAAGACATCAGACTAGAGGACCCAGTAAGGTCCTTCTTAGCTCTACCTTTATGATATATAATATATGATATAGTGGAAGAATTTTTTCAAGGTCAGAATGATGATCCCTAAGATTGATAATCCCTATGTACTGCACATGCCTTTGGCAGATAAAAAAATTTCAGAGAAAGTAAACACAGACTATTGTGCTAGGCTGGCCCGAGGCAAAATTAGGAAGTAAAAGAGGTTTTTGTTTGATTCTCTATCACCTCCTCTTCCTGTGACCTCTCCTTTTCTCCAGGCTCTCCACTCCTGGATTCCAAGGCCCTCCTACTCTCTTCTTCCAGCACAGGTTTACCTACTATAATGCTCCATTTCCCATAAACAGATCCCTATGACCTAGATATTCCTCTTCTCCTTTCCCACCTCAAGGTATCCACCTTCCTTCTCATTCTTAATAGATATTAAATCAAACTGATAAAATAATTCACATTGCCCTGTTGAAACTTAAAATGGAAATATCTATGGGAGGAAAAAAATTAAAATGAATGAATCTTGAATAATAGAATTTCAGGTACTGTGGCAAACCAGTGGGAGAGAGATTTTCAAGTCAAAGAATGTTTAGTGATACCCTTTGAATCCCAAAGAGGTTGGCCTTTGTGTTGGCTGAAGTACAGCAGTTCTGCCATAAGCTAAATCTAGACAAAATCCAAGGAAGGGAAATGAAGTTTCAGGGAAGGTTTTGTTTTTTGTTTTTTTTCATCTCTAAGTGCTTAGGAATGATTTGAGTTCATTATTTTTCTACATAGAAAGCTAGGTTTTCCATCCTATGGGACTATGACATAATATTAATTGTCATTTCACCTATCATTTCTCCTTATTCTGTGTGTACAGATAATGGCGTCCCTTAGGGGGAAAAAAAATCACGAATCACTTTAATATCATTATATGTTATCTAGGGTGTTAAA